GCAATTATATGTTGCCGCATCCCGTGTCACCAATCAAAGTGGGTTGAAGATATTAGTCTGTAATGACGATGACTTGCCACCAAATCAGACTCAAAACGTTGTGTACAAAGAAGTGTTTACTAATTTATGAAGTTTTAAATTTGTTTTTTCTATTTTATATTTGTTACATATCCACAAACTGCATTAAATTTAATGTTGATAATATAAAAAACCCAAATAATATACTATCCCGCGTGCATTGCACGGGTCAGTACTAGTGTGTAATTAATATCTAAGACGATACAAATGCCATATAACTCATCATTTAGTTGAAGATCCTAAAAATGACCTTAATTCTCTTTAAATAAAACGTCAAATATTCACCGACAATTGTCCTTTTCCTCGGATATACAACCGTGTCCATATTCTGGGCTTATTATGGGCAATGCTATATGTACACCCCCCTTTAATAAATTACACAAAGGGCAATGTTATATGTACACCCCTTTTTTACACACAAGGGGGTGTACATATAGACACCCCCTTATTATTTTCAAGAGTTTGTTAATAGGATAATTATATTTAGCTACACTTAATTAGGGACCAAAATTTAAATTTATTTTGGTAATTGACTCTTATTCATTGCACTAGATGCCCACCTTATCTAACATCCAAATATAAAAATAAAATATTATAAATTACATATATAACATTCAAATTATAGTAACAGATCTTATGCACATGTAAAAATATAAATAAAATATTATAAATTATACATATAATACCCGGATTATAAATTCAATGGATATATCGATTTTTCCAAATATGATCATTCGTAAATGAACAATACGATATAAATTATTTAGGAAAATTAAACTTTGCCTACCGAACTATTCGCGTTTTTACACTTTGCCTACTCAACTTTTTCCGGTGACACTTTACCCCTTAAATTTCAAATATTCTTGCACTTAGCGACTTTCGGCCACTAGAGATGCAAAATCAATGGAAAAGTGTAAGAACACGAATAGTTCGGTAGACAAAGTGTACTCGTGAAGATTGATTTGAGGTGTCTCCTAAGGTATAAAGGACGATTTTGCCCTTGATTTTGTCCGATGGCCGGAAGTGGTTAAGTGCAAGAATTTTTTAAGTTCAAAGGGTAAAGTGTCACCCAAAAAAGTTGAGTAGACAAAGTGTAAAAAAAAAAAGAATAGTTCGGTAGGTAAAGTGTAATTTTCCCAACTATTTAACTACACATAAAGCACTATTATTGATAAACAAAATGTAATAAATAATGTAATTTTGAGACATCATAATCAATTAATTAGCTAAAGAATAAATTATTATTTTTGTCGTTGTTGTTTATGTGATTTAAAAGGGTTCGTGGGCATGGCATTAAAATCAATTAGCTATTTTCTTAAAATAAACCGTTTAGAGATATGCTATAATAAATTTATTTTACTATAATAACTTGAAGAAAAAGTTTTAAAAAATATAATTGTTTATATTTATCTAATTAATAATTAATATTATACATCTTATAACTATTATTTACTTCATGACATATCTTTATATAATAATTTGTTAATTTTTTATCTCATTATACTCGATTATTATTTTTATATTACATCATACATTATAAAAGTAATTAATTATTTAATCAAG